GGACTCTCTGGAGAATTCTGGGTAAAAACCCCACAAACTGACATAATGTAAACTCTGGCTGTGTGTTCAACCAAGCATTCAACACACACACACACACACACACACACACACACACACTGACAGTAACGCTTCACTGACTGGAGAAAAGTTAAGGAAATGTCATTTTGTCTGAATAGCTGGTTTGACAGCAGAAACTTGACGAGAGCAGAATTCTTCACATTTTCTTCTTCAGCAACAAGCTGCAGAGAAACTGACCACACGCGCCCACGCACATTTAGTTAGGTCACTTTTGGGGAAATTGCATGGACTTAATTCATTTTCTGAAGATGTACCCTAACCCTAACCACTACACCACAATTAACTAGTCTTCAGTCTGAAATGTGTCCCTGAAGGCACCCTAAATCAGAACACACACCCATACTGTGTGACTGTGTGTGTGTGGCAATTAAGCAGCTAACAGGATGCTGCAGGAGTTCATCACATGCAGTTTCTAAAGATTTGTCCATTAAAAAAACACCATTACGTCACAGAGAGCTGATGCTTTAATGTTTACCTACATCACGCCAAATAACCACAAATAATTTCACTGCTATGGCTGCTCCTAATGGTACATATCTACTTGCTTTTAACTACTTACCATTGCTATCTCTGACAACTTTTGGTCAACAATTCTGTGACCTATATTTCATTTAGATTCATTTGATTTATCTAATCACAATTGCAATCGTGATGTCACCCTGTGCAGTTACATAAACGCAACAAGGGTGCAATTTAATTAAACTATAAGGTGTGCTGTGTGTGTGACACTCTAGTCTATGTGTGCATTGCAGTCTGCTTATTATCCACACCCACACAGGGCTCTACAGTGTGACCATTTCACTTGCAACAGGAAAAATGATTAACAAGCACAGTGTGCGAGTAAAGACTCCAACCTACCCTTTATACTATACTAGTGGTAAACTGTATAAGCCTGGTATTCTATTATATGAAAATAGAATGAATATAGTAACAATTAATATATTAACATTGTACTAACAGTATACTATTAAATGAACATTATACTTTTTATTTAATGTCTCCTCTGGTTTTCACACCATTACTATACACAAGGAGAAGGAGCGCACACACAATTTTCACTGTGATTTATGCATTTTCCCTGATAATCAAGCAATTAGACTCAGGATACCATCTGTTACCATTTTATTGCAATATTGTCCACAGTAATCGCAATATGATTTTTTCCAATTCGCGCAGCCCAGTTTAATGACTCTAACTGGCTGTTTAGTGAAGTGAAGCCTGCACATTAGTTCAGACAGTCTATGTGTACATGGGATATACAACATACGTACATCCAACACGGCAGTGATTTATTATCAGAACCACCTTCACCACAGCCACATTGCATTATGGGTGAAGTTATTACTGTCAGTCCACACGCCCTGTTGAGCTGAGGTTGGTGTTTCCTCATTGGGTGATGAGGTCAACGCGAGGGTGACCAGACATCCCGAAAAATCCGGGACAGTCCCGAATTACGAGCAGTTGTCCCGACTCCTTTCCGGTTTGTCACAAAAATTTAAATTAAACATTAAATACTGATCTTTGTATAGTTCACTTGCTCCAGCAGGGGTTGCAGGTTATCTGTACATTGTGTCAACAGCGTTGTTATAGCCACAAAGTAACACTCGTGCTCTCTTCCCCCCTCTACAACGCACTGATGAAATGAATAAAATTAAAATTAGGTAAAAGATCATGACTTACCTACATATCCACAGTTTTTGTGTTTTTCCTAATAACAGGTGACTTCATGAACAAAAATAATAAATTTTAGCGTTGTGTTTTGATTTTCACGTGTGTTAATGTTCATTGACACTCAATGTACCGGTAGCCACACCACCATCGGTTGTTTCCTCCTCTACGGCTTAATCCACTTTTGCTATTTACACTATTTATTTTAGGCTTCTTTGGAAATCGAATGAGACCAACGCCTCCCACACCAGGGTACTATGTGTTGCTGTTAGGGGTGACCCAGGCACATGTTTTGAAGGTAAGGATGATATTCTAGTGTTGAGTTGGGATGATTCGGCCCTGTCCTCCAGTCTCACACAAAGAATGCAGGTAAATACAATAAATAAAAGTTTACTACACGTTGTTAAAATTGAATATATTTACTCCCAAAGACGGCTACTCCCAGTGTTGCTATATCACGAGGTTTTGTCAAGCAGCTCTGACATCACTGATCGATCAGCCCTGACCTGAGAGCCAATGAGCAGGGAAATATCAATCACATGCAGGAAGTTAAGCAGACAGAAACTAAATGAGGTCAGCTCTCCACAGACAGACAGAACCTCCTCTTTATGGACATGAGTTATGAGCCGTTCACGTTGACTCTGGAAACATGAATCATTTTCACTGCTGCCAATTTCTATGCAGGATGTAAAAACCTCCGTCTTCAAGTACTTGACCAGAGACTCTCTTATACCTATGAACAGAAGAGACAGAAGGTACGTAACAACTGATGAACAGTGTCATCTGACTGTGCAACAAGAGCAACTCAAACAAGGCACATTATGGTCAGACAACATCAGCCATTAAAGGAGGATTTAAACCCTACAGATGAAGGTGTAAGGCGCATTAAAGAACCAGCAACAGTATCAAAAGTTGCTTTGTACATCATTTAACAATGTAGTCTCCTGTATTTAGTTTTTTTCAAAGCCGGCTGCTGGCAAAGGCAGTTTAAGCTGCTTATGGTGCCAGAAAAAAACAATGCAGTGAAGATGTGTAAATTGTGGAAGCCAAAGTGTTGTCAATATAATCCTAATTTATATTAGGATGCTGCTGGAAGCTCTGCATTTCCTGCTGCTGCTTCACATAAGAAGACTTCCATCGGTGAACCAGCAGGAGTCTTTGTCACAGACATGGGCGGCAACTTTAAGCCCCTGTTCCACAGTCTTTTTAATTCACTGTTTCCCCGCAAATGCTCCTAGTTTGCAACATAAGTTCCATCATTCCCGCCCACAACCTGTCTAGACCACAAGTGTGCGTTTTACACTGGCCCGTCTGGCAACAGATAGCTCTCATTTTAATTTCTGCAGTTGCCTCGTCATCAGCCATGATAGTTTCAGGGTCTGTTCCATTTGGTCTGTGCGCTGTGAGGGATTCTGGCAAGAAAACACACCGATAATCCATAACTATAAACTGTAAAATATATATGATTAGATATGAAAAGATCTGATTCTGATAAAAAGTGTCTTCTGATTCCACTGTCCTTCTCATCGCTGTTCTGCTGGAGTTTCAATTCCCCCAATGGTTTATGGTTAATGGTAATTTTGAAATATCAAAATCTGCCCGCGCACTTAATTCATGATGTTTATTATACAGATCCCCCCTCTCCCGCTTGTAAAATTAATCTGGCGTTGTTGGTCACAGACTTGGGCATAGTTGGTGCTATTTTGTCAGTGGATCAGGTGACGGGCTCTGCTTTGGTTTGTGCGAACCAGCACAGCTAAAACATCACGGTAAACAACTTCTTTTACCTTGCCAAGCAGCCGTGTAGAAAACCGGTTGCTGATCCTGATTCCTACCAATAATCATTCACAGTTTGTTGTGTTGGAGTGAACCTGTAACCATCAGCTGCGGGATCACAGCAGGAGCCCCTGATGTGCGGCGCATCATTTCATGGACACCTTCAGTAATCTTAGGACACCAAAATAAAACAGTAACACACGTATGGGCTGTTCCGCATAGATTCCAGGTTAATACAGTCACTTGCAGCAGCTGACTTTTTCACTCTAAGCAAATCTCCAAACCCCATTTCCTCTGGATCATCAGAATAAATGCTGTGGTGTCAGCGGGATTATTAAAGGAAGCTCTCGGTTTGTGTAAAAGGCCAGATCGCTACTTGCATTGCTGTGCACATGTAAATGTACCCTGATATGACCGGAATGCATTCAACAGACAAGAATGATGGAAACATGTTTTTAGAATGTAGCCCTGTCTGATTTTCTAAAACAACTTGAAACATGGAAATTCACCACAATTTGCCATTGAAAGCATATTTGGGATGCTGTATATTAATATTTGAAGTTCAGTAAATTAACAGTGTAAATATACATGGACTGTTATACGTTTATCTTTGGGATCAGTTTCCCCCAGCTTGCACTCTCCTGTTGTCTCATTAAACTGCTGCTTTTTAACGATTAGAGAGTGAAAGGAGCTGATGTGATCGGCTATTAGGTATTATTTTTACTGGATGTCACCCCAACTCCACCTTAGGCTAGTAACCAGGGACACTGACAACCAGTCTTAAATTATTCTTTAAAAAATGGTCTTTCGAGTACTTTCTCCTGTTAGCAGGGGAAAACGGCCCTCACGCCTTGCCTCACATTATACATATTCATATTGGAGGTCAACCCAACTCTGGCCTCAGGTAGATGGGTGCAAGCTAGGCATTAGGGTCCTGGATATGTAGGGCTGATTTGGGCATGGAGGTCATTACTTTTTATATGATGAAATATCTTTTCACATAATGACCATGAACATTTGTTGTACGGTCCTCTAAAGTATTTCATAAATCACATGAGTAGATTGGACAGTAAGTAGAGGAAAAGTAACTGGGTTGGGAATATGGGAGAAAAAAAAAATATATATATATTCTGTATATACACATTAGTTGATCACATCAATCAGTAAAATGAGGCCAGATCACCAGAGAGCAACTGCTGACTGATGGTGGTGTCACGGTTTGTGACTTCAGTCACTTCCATGGTGGAGAAACCTGGAAAATCAGCTGCAAATGTTAAACGGCTAATGTCAGTGACAGATGGAATAACAGTGTCTCAGTGCGACTCACACAAAGTCTTGCATAATCATCCTGAGATATGGCAGTTTCCAGCAAAGAAAGTTCACGACAAACGGAGCAGTCTGTTGACGGGAACTGCTGGTGCAGTAAAGAGATGTGGACAGAGAGAGGAGGGAATAAAAGTATAAAGATGGAAACTCACCCTGGACAGGACAACCTCTAAGGTGATGTTCTGAGGAGGAGCGCTGGGTACTGCAGAGACAAACACGAAACAGTGTAAATACTGTATATCAGGTAATTTATGAGTCAGAGATAAAACTGGCTGCTCATCCAGACACCTCTGACACAGTGTAAATGTTGAGATTACAGTATACAGTGTCCATGTTTCCCTTTTAGAAAAGAAAATGTTCTAACTTATAAACTTCTTCAGGCATCTCACAGGAGAGCTGTGCTAAAGAAGCTGAACATCACTAGAGATATAGACTCCCTAACTTAGGTGGCATTTTTTATGTTTCATAGATATATTATTATTATTTTTTTTTATTAACCTTTATTTAACCAGATGATCATTGACATTTGAAACCTCTTTTTCAAGAGAGACCTGGCCAAAATAGCAGCATATTGACAGAGCACAGTTACAAATCGGAACACCAAGCACACCCACAACACCAAAGGACATTTAACAAGACTCTTAATTTAAATTTAAAATAAATTTGAACTGGTTATTTTATTAGATCCGATATTTCCCTCTGACATGTGAGGAAGGAGAGGAAAAGATCAGGAAAAATGAGGTAAAAAAAAAAAGAAGTTGAAAACAAAGAAGATGGAACAGAAGACACTTAAAGTTTAAAAGAAGAAGGCCAAGCTGAAGAAAATGATGAGCAGGAAGTAGAAGACTAACAGACAAACAAACATTATGTGGTTTCAGGAGCGGGACCACACATCAACATCATCATCGCCAGCATTTCCATAAATACCCACACGTCCCAGTTCCTCTTCTTCGCTCTCGCATTCTGCACCCCTCCCACCCACCCCTTTCTCTGTCCTGCCTCATGATCTCTGTCGTGCCCGGATGCTACGGCGGATTTCCCTATCGTAGCTTCCCCACAACGCTTTCAAATGTCTATTCAGCAACTGCAAGCCTCGTACATCTTTCTGTTTCGATCATCAACAAATCATTTAATCCTACCTGTCGATTGTGTGGTCCTTGCTAGTGAAAAAGAAAATCAAGATGATGAAAGACACGTTGGATGAAAACAAAGAACACTTAGGAAAGAAACAAAATCTGCAGAAAAGAGGACGGAGAGCTACAACATGAAGACAAAGAAGATGAAAAACAAAGAAACAGAAATTGATGGCAAAAACAAAGAGGTAGTGGGTGAATAGCAGGAGGAAGAGGATGAAGAAGCAGCAGACATGTGGTTCTGTCCCGCCAATCACAGACAAAGTATGACGTTCAAATTGAGAATCAAAGTGTTTGGGTTTGAATGAACTCTGCGTCTGTCGAACCAGACTCCTGATTAACTGTCGGCAGCTTATCTATTGATTCAGCTGCTGTGTGTGTGTGTGTGTGTGTGTGTGTGTGTCAGTTTTATTGTGGATTCAATTAGCCCACAAGTCATTGTTATCATCGAGGCACAGCTGGAAGATTCACAATACATCCACTCTGCATCTGTGTGTGAGGGTGTTATTTCAGATCATTTTTATGGCGTGATTGCAGCTGGACAGATGCCTCTATTCTCTCTCACTGTCTGTGTGTGGACATTTATTAACGACAACATAAACACACCCGTCTGAGCAGCAGTGATATCAAGTCTGTGGTTCAAATTTAAACTAAAGTACGTTTTTCTTTTATTAATAGCAAGTGGCAACCTGCGGGGCTGAGAGTGGAAGCCAGTGCCAAAAACTTCAACAACTGTATGGGCCCGTTTAAATTATATTAAAGCTTAAAGTTATGCATAATTAAGGGCATGGCTGCTTTGAGTGACAGGTGGATGCTGTCTGATAGCTCCACCTCTTTGCCCAATTTTGGATAAGCCAGGACTTAGGAGACTCCGCCAAGATGGCGACGGCCGGAGCCCCCACACTGAGCTTCCCACTCACTCCTCTTCAGAAACCGATGGGGGACGTCACAGAGACTGTCCATGTTTTATACAGTGTGTGATTAATATGTCAACTTTTCCAACTTAGCCAAGCATAAAAACTTTATTGCGAGACATATTTGTTTCCACTCAGGTTCTTTAATGCATAAATTGAAAATGCACATAAACACAGGTGAATGGAAAATGCAGACCCAGTTGCAGCGTGACATAATGCTACAGTGTCACGTTTAGTAAGGACAGATACCTCAAATGATAGATGAAACCCTGTCTGTATCTATAATTCATGTGTGGAAAATAATGCTTGTTGGGCATGACAGAATTGATCTTGGGGTGTGTTTGCTGGATTGACAAGGTTTGTAGCCTATCAAACTCAACTCTGCTCATTTGTATCTCTCTAATAAAGGCAGGAATCTGTGTGTGTTTATGTTTCGAATATGTCCAGAACTATTCATCCAATCGTCTTCGGGTGTGTTGCTGTGGACCCAGGGGAGTGTGACATTTGGTGCATTTTTGACAAGCGACACGTTCATAATGAATAAACAGTACAGCTGCTCCGCTCTGCTACAGCGAGGGCGTGGTACGCTTGTTTGGGCGGGGCTTATATACGCTCTGATGTGGTAGTGAATTGTTGAAACGGAGTTACCGCCATCGCACAGGTTTGATATATGTTAGGAACTAACGTGTTAAAACAGAGTTGTAAGAGTTTTATAAAGTTTTAAGAAAGCGCTGAATATCTCGCAGTATCTTCACCATTGTTGTGTTGTTTCAGTTTTATTAATGCTGTGATGTGAGAAGCACATTTTGAACTTAAAAAATCTAAAAAAGCACAGGGAGGCATCACATCAGCCCCTGTGAACTGCACTAGTTCTGTGTTCACAGTTATATCACCTACCTTTCTTTTGACTCTTAAATACTTTGGCACTTTATGAATTCTTATGAATAGGTTTATTGTATAATATATCATGTGTAATATGTAGGATGTCCCCGATTAAGGATTTACATAGTCGAATCAGAGTTGTGAAGTCCTGCCTATATTCGAGTTGAATCATGTGTGTTTATGTTCGCGGTGATTGTGAGCCGGGGGGGTTGGGTTCACAGGAAGCTCCGCTTTAATCTTGAGAAGCTGCAGAGCTGCAGTCTCTATTCATTCGACTTACACTGTAAATTTCCAGCTAAACTGAGGCTTTTTGAAGACCCTTTTCTCTCTCGCCTGTCCTTCACCACATAGTTTTGCGTGCATGCCGTGCTGCCCACAACAGCATGCACGTCGCGGTTAAAATAGTCTTTGTGAGGTACATCAACGGTGATAAATTACCCGAAAGTCCCGCGAGGTGCGGACAACTCGGCACAACACCAGTGAAGCTGGGTCATTCGAATCAGGCTCTGCCCATCGAAGCATTGAATCTTTGACAGGTCTGCCCTAGTAATATGTAGATGATTTGTGCTCATGTTTTGTTCATTGACTTCCATATTTCTGTTGATACGCTCTGTTCTTCCCACACAAGCCAAGCAATAGCATCACACATTTTATGTCTGTGAGAATAAAGTGTGTGTTGCTCTCTCTCCTGCTGTCAGTTGTTTCATTAGGGGACTCGGGGGTCTTTAATTAAGCACGGGGATGAGGAAGGAGACTTCTTAGCCTGACACTACAGTGAATCCTCTGTTTCAGCCTCCCTCTTTGTGTGTGTGTGTGTGTGGACTCCATTAGTGTGTCAGGCTAAGAGGCTCTAAAATGAAGAAGCTCCTTCCTCATCCCCGGTGCTTAATTAAAGACCCCCGAGTCCCCTAATGAAACAAGTGACAGCAGAAGAGAGAGAAGAGAGGGGGTGGGGGTCACATTCTCATAGACATAAAGTGTGTGCCGCTGTTGCTTGGCTCGTCGTTCTATATTTCCCACTCCTTCAGCCAAACCAATAACCACACATCCACACATCCACACATCCACACATCCACACACACACACACACACACACACACACACACACACACACACACACACACACACACACAGCGTCAGGTAATAGGCAGCACCTGGTCCAGCAGTTCTCTGGTCTCAGCTGAACGGCTGCAGAGCTTCAAACTGGGACCACTTGGAGCCACACTGCAGACAGCACACACTCTCAGTATCCCTAGATTTTCTGGACAGAGTGTGTTTTGAAATACCAACAGCCTGTTTATTAGCTTTGTTCATTTTATTGATTTTTGTATGCCCTTATTTAAAGGAGATTTACACTGAAATGCTGTGTGGTCAATGCTTTGGAAATTATTACAACCTCAACTTCAACAACATCCAAGAAATAAAGATGCTAATGACACTTTATTACTGCACTTACATAACCTGTTTTAATTATATTGGTCTCAGGAGAGCTCAGCGTGTGTAAACATGGATTATATTCAGTGAGAATGTTCTCATTTTAAACAACCCAGGACATACAGGATAAACTCCTCTTCAGATTGTCTTTTATGATTGACTCTCATCCACTTGTCGGGTCCAGTTCACTCTTTTGTTTGTTTGTTTTTTCAAGTCATTTTTGGGAGTTTTTCTGCCTTTATTTGATCAGCAGAAGAGACAGGAAATGTGGGAGAGAGAGAGAGAGAGAGAGAGAGAGAGAGAGAGAGAGAGAGAGAGAGAGAGAGAGAGAGGGGACTTTAGCCAGAGATGTTTTATAGAGGAGACACGCCACTCAATCGCATCCTCAATACAACTCTATGGGGAATGCCCGTAACGGCAAAGACGGCGGTTATCCCGCCCTCCAGCTAGAAAGCCAATCGTCTGCTTTTAACAGCCAAATCGGGAATCATATTTCAGCCAGTCGTGTGGTTCCACTGATATAAGGGTCTGTTTTACTTCTACTGTGCATGTGGTGATGTAAGTGGTGACACATGCGTAGTAGAAGTATTTTGGTCGGGAAAAACGCTTTTTAAACCTTATTAAACTGTTTTTATGTCCCGGTGACCTGTATAAGTGCCCTCCCCATTCATTCAGATAGGAGCCTGGTCTTGTTAGTCCGAAATAGCTGCCTGGAAGTATTGCCAAGATGGCGGCCTATAAAGACTTTGCTTTAGCCTTTGCATATGGTGCGTGTGCTCCACCAGGTGAGCTAACCGATGCCCCCACTCCAGAAAAATTATATCGTTACTTGTAATGTGATGTAATCAGGGCCCTTGAGGTCATGTCATCAGTATTTTGGGGCAAGTGTATGTATGTGTAACTTTCAATTTTCGTGATGATTTTATTTTGAAATGTAGACATTTACTCCAATATTTCATAACCTGTGGTGTCAGGTTTTGGTCTGTCTGTCTGTCTGTTTGGTCCGTGTATCTGCGTGTTTTAGTCTAGCAATCGTCTGTCTCTGGTGTTTGGTATCGTGCTTTGTTTCCTCTTGTCCTGATTGTCCGGTTCCCCGCCATGTGTTGTAGCGCCATCATTGTATTATGTCGATTGTTTCTGCCTGTTCTTTGTGTTGTTTTCTGCTCTGTTGGATGTTGAATTACTATACGTGTTTGGACTCTCGCCTGCTACATCTACATAGAAGCCTGGCTTTCTATATTGTTGGAATAAACACTATGAACTGCATCCGCTCCTTTTGGGGTCTTGCGTTTGGGCCCAAATCCTTGTTTTTCTGCCTCTGCACTTGGCGATCTTGACATGTGGTGTAAATGGCATTACATACCATGGTTTTCTAATTCCTGTTGCAAATGGTTGTCAGAGTGTAGCAAAGAGGAAGTGAAAACCAAGTGGCAATTATGGAGAGAAAATATTGTGATTTGATTTGCCCACCAGCACAGCATGAGATCATCACTGACATGCCAAGGATTTATAGCAAATGGTCGTACAGTTAAATTTGTTGGAAAAGGCTTTGAGAGAGAACAGAGCCGAAACGAGAATTGTGCTGAGAACTCATTCCTCCTTAATAAACATACATGAACATTAAATCCTGTTAAATAAATAATACCAAAAGAAACACATAAGCAGGAGGTTGGGGTGACAGAGAGAGCTGTGACAGCAAACCGTGTTGGCTTCAGCGAGCAATAGTGATAAAGTAGCCGGTAATGTCTGTGTGCACTTGCATGAGAAGGATGGGATGTTACTAACCACTGGGGCTGAACGATTAATCGTTTTCAAATCAAAATTGCGATTTGAAAGAATGCGATTAGCTAATCGTGAAGACGGCGATTAAAATGTAGGTTAATTATACAGCGCATCTGACCCCGTTTTGAACAGTCGTGCAGTTACAAATTCATTCCGTTGTCGTGCTTGTGCGACAGACTTGCTAACCAATCACAAGCGCCATGCGCCTCCTGTTATAGTCCCACTCAATCAGTGCGAGGACACGTGAGGAGCGTGTACATTTTACAACAAACAAACGAAACTGGAGAAAAACATGGGATCATGGCGTCACGCGAACCGACACAGGCAACGGCTGTGCCGCGGCGTCAACTCACACTGAAGTGTTTCAGCAGCGGAGCGTTTAGCTGCCCGGCGTTGTTGACGCACTGTTAATTAGTCATTCTGTGCAACTTCAACTACGGATAACAGCTCTCTGCGTAGGCTACATATCCCACATGGAGCATTTCAGAATAAGAGCGTGTTGCCTGCCTGATTTTGCTGACTTGTTGAGATTTTGTGAATTTATTCAGCTGTCCTTGTTTTTTGTGCTTCTATCATGATTAGGTAGGCTACGTAGTTAAATTATTTCTTTTTTTGTCTTTTTTGTTGATATATGATCGTTATGCACAGCAGCTAGCTTGGTACAGAACTCAACAGTTAGCGCTGTTACCACGTTGGATATATGAGGAGATGTTAAGGTAGAGCTCACCGTCTGATTGGGTGGTGACGCTGACTGTCTCTGAGGCGGCGCCTGGTCCGTAGCGGTTAATCGCCAAAACTCGAACTGTGTACTCTGTGAATTTATTGAGGCCGTCCATCTTGTAGTTGAGTCCGTTCACCTCCACACTCTGAACACAAGCACAGAGGAGTGATTACACTTCATTCTATCAGAGTAACGAACACTTGGGGGTTTCACTCCCTACATTTACAAGCTGATGGCCAGAAATAAAGCATTTCACTCAGTAACATGACATCAGTGGAAATTATGTTGAATCCAGCAGTATGTGTATAATGTTTGTTTCTTGAATTGGACTGACAAAAAGGGCTGTGATTTGTGACATAAATTATATTCAGTGGTTTATTAAACTCCACATAAAGACTGGATTTCTGACAAGCGGTGCTATGGCAGTGATGGTGCAGACCTGTTCCTTGCCAGACGGGCTCTCGGTCCACAGCAGTCTGTAGCCCAGCACCGGGCCGTTTGGTTGGCTGGGAGGCTCCCAGCTCACCTGGACTGAGGTGGGAGACAGAGCCTCAGCCTGGAGAGACTCCACTCTGCTGGGAACCTGGACTGTAGAAAAACACAGAAACAACATATTGCTCAAACACACTCACAAATGCACACACTACTACTACTACTACAAGTACTACTCTGTAATCACTACTGATACTATAAAACTTTGTTCAGCTACATCTACTACCATGACTACAGTGATGGTCTCTGACCATTTGAAGGTCCCACAATTCTCATGACTCCAGCAATTACAGAATATTAGATCTGAGTCACATTACATCACAGAGTGAGGCGACTTTGTCAGTGTCTGTATGCATCAAACTAAGACCCTGTAGGTAGAGTCGCTTCTAGTGTAATGTTGTGATGTGCCGTTGAAGTCAGGAGAGGTCGTATACAGAGCAGTGAAAAAGAGATCATCCAGTGCAATGGGTCAAGCACAGGACTTTGACCCAGGATGTCGCTGTTTGTTTCCCGTGTGGAGTCAACGCACAAAATGTAATTAAAATCTTTTCCTAAACCTAACAAAGTAGTCATAGTTTGACAGAGGGCCACTGGAGTGAGACCAGGTTTACTTCTTTTTACCCAAACCTAACTAAGTAGTTTTGATGCTTGTTCGAGGCCTTTCAGTCAGGGTTTAGAAGGCATCATAGCACTGAGACAGCACTGGTGAAAGTTACAAATGATATGCTGATTGCATCAGACAACTGACTTGTCTTGCTAGATCCAAGCGCTGCTTTTGATACCAATTACCACCATATACTACTACAGAGACTGGAAAATTTTATTGGCATCAATGGATTGGCCCTCAGTTGGTTTAGGTCCTATTTATGCGGTTGGTCCCAATTTGTATATGTGAACAATGATTCTTCCATGCATACCAGCGTTGACCATGCAGTACCACAAGGTTCGGGGCTCGGACCAATCCTTTTTACTCTAAATTCAATTCAATTCAATTCAATTCAATTTTATTTATATAGCGCCAAATCACAACAACAGTTATCTCACAGCGCTTTTCATAAAAGAGCAGGTCTAGACCGTACTCTATGATGCTATTTACAGAAGCCCAACAGTTCCCACCAAGAGCAAGCACTAGGCGACAGAGGCAAGGAAAAACTTCCTTTTAAGAGGCAGAAACCTCGAGCAGAACCATGGCTCAAGGTGGGCGGCCATCTGCCTCGACCGGTTGGGGGTGAAGGAGAGAGAGAGAGAGAGAGAGAGAGAGAGGGATGTAAGGAGAGAGAGAGGGGAGGGAGGCAGCCTACACAATATAAATATGTAAATATGCTTCCTCTCGGTAGAATTATAAGGAACCATGCCATAAACTTTCATTGCTATGCTGATGATACTCAGCTATATGTAGCAATCAGGCCGGGTGATTCAAATCAGTTAGCCAAACTTCAAGTGTGCATACAAGATGTCAAAGCCTGGATGACCTGTAATTTCCTCATGCTGAACTCAGACAAAACTGAAGTTATTTTACTTGGGCCCAAACAACTTTGAGATATATTGTCCAACGACATTGCTACTATGGATGGCATCACCCTGGCCCCCAGTACCACCGTGAGGAACCTGGGAGTTATTTTCGATCAGGAAATGTCCTTCAATCTGCAATTTAAGCAAATTTCAAGAGCTGCCTACTTTTTTTACTCATTTGTGTAACATTGCTAAAATCAGGAACATCCAGTCTCAAAACGCTTTTATTGTAATTCTTTTCTAGCGGGCAGCCAAAACTTAGACTAAAGACTTGATGCCTAACCCAACTGTCAACGTTAACCACGTGTGATGTAATGTTTCTCAAAAAGCTTCCAAAATTTTCACATCAGGAATCGTCTGATGATGTTGCTTATCTTCAAAAATTATTTCCTACCAAAAAAATAATGCAAAAAATTGGGGCTTGTTTCAGAATCAGGGTTGTCTTAAATGTACACAATACACAAAACAAAGACAGCGAAAATGTGTGTTGGTGAGTGAGTGTGTGTGCGCCTGTGTCTTACTGTCAGGTTTGGTGGTGATCCTCAGGGGGGCGGAGCTCTCTCCTGGCCCCACGTCATTGTAAGCAATGACCCTGAAGCTGTAGCTCTCCTCTGGTTTCAGGTTGGAGACTGTCAGCTCCAAAGACTCTGGCTCCGACACGTTCACTGATCGCTCCCTGACACAGTGAAACACAGTGTCATACACTGAACTGTTTTCATTACAAATATAACACACACATAACAAAGAACATTTTTCAAGTTTACTAATAATATTATCATCATCACAGCATTTTTTACTAACATTCATTTTATTAACTAGCTATTTTTGTATTTTGTTTTGTTTCATTATGAAAATCTGAAAAATTCTGAGTTGATAACTTTTAAATTGCACTGCAGTACAGATAATGGGAGCTGTAACCAGATTTAATCTGTGTAATCCCTCTATGACTGCAGCTAATCCTCAGATTACAGCACCTCTGCAGCCTCTCAGTCCTCAACTAATGACCAAATCACTGAAGAGACAACTGCAAAGATTAAAATGTTTCCACTGCACCATCAAATACATACTGTGGCTTTTTCTGCACAGTTCACTGTAAAGAAGCTGGCAGTGAAAAGGAATAGTTTTATACTAAATATTTTTTTAAAGAATTAAAAGAATTATGTTCCTATATATTAAAGAATCTTTATCACATTGATTTTGCTGCAATTTCTTGTCTTGATTTTATGGAGTGAGAAACACAACAGAACATCAGACACAAGCAGAGTTAGGTTTCCAGATTGTAACTGATCCTTCATTTAGGGGGGAGGATGAAAACTGTACCGCTGCCAGGGAGTCAAAGAGTACAGTTTAACAAGCGATCTGCTGACAAGAACGTTTAACGTGCACGTCTGTTCTGCTCATTTCAATTCTACATTACCGTCAGTCTCACTTGTACTCTGTGTTTAGTGCCAATTAGCAAATTTTATCATGTTAGCACACTATGGGAACATGGTAAACAGTAAAACTGCTAATTAAATGCCAATGTTAAGATTCTTCCTTTTGTTATTCAGCATCAGCAGCTATGTACGCTGGTGAGGTGGCTTTCCAAAGCATGAGAAATGGAGATCCATCATCTCGCCCTCCAAACGGCGACTTGACAGTGCGCAGCAGCATTCTGCACAGCTGCTCTGAGATGCAGTCACTCTGGATTTAACATCGTTGTTGTGTGTCGCATTGTGAGTGGTGCAAAAGACACCTTGAAATTTGATTTGAGCTTTACATTTCATGTTGTTGTTTTGTTTTTTTTGCTGTCCAGGCTTTCTATAATCAATCTGGCTATGCCTTAAAAAAACATATTTGGACTATCATTCTGAACAAGGCCTAAGAGTCTTTTGACAGTTGGGACAGAGCTCAAACTTGGCAACCCCATAATAGATTGTAATATCTTAAGGGACCTTTAATGGGTAAAACCCTTTAACACTGATTGATTGTGGTGAAAGGAAATGGACTATTCTTGATCAACAGACCCTTGCAATGAGTTTGAGATAAGGTTTTCCAGCATATATTACACTGTTGGACTGTCAGATGTCTTTAAAGTTGAGGAAATACCAGACTTTTAAGGTTTCAGTTGTATCCTCTGGTTTATACCAGCATTATTTTTATGACAAGCTGTTCTTTTTAAAAATGACCCAAAAGATGGGAGTCTTCTCCTTTAATACATTAATTACATGTTCATATTCATCTCACTATGCCTAGTACTAGCAGTCTGTGACAGTTGGTTGTAAAAGGTTAATAAATTACAATGAATTATTGGGTTGACAGGTTTGAGCTCTCTCCTAACTCTACTGTCAAAAAAACCCAGACAACTCTTGTGTTTTCACCTCAATTAAAGATTAATGTCTTTTTATGGTATTAATGAATGAATGACTTTCACTATTTTTTCTTTTCTCTTTAAAAATTGTGGAAAACCTTTTAAAATTTAAAACAATGCTTTATACCTTTCTATTTCACAATCCATGAATCAATCTGTTAATCATCCCACTTAAAACCCTGTTAAAATACTGTTGTTCAATAAATTCTTCTAACTTCTAACTACTTCATAAACTTTTAGGGACATTTTGTCAGAGGTTACCACGATCCTCTGCAGACAGTTAATTTTCACGACAAATATCATGCCACTCCAGTAAGTTGTCAAGATGTCTGTCTCTGGACCAAAGTGTGGTGCTGACAAACTGACAGAGCAACAAATCAACCAAAATCTGCAGCAGCAGTAGAGACACAAAGGTTACCGATAAATACTAAAGGAGAGTGGAGTTCTCAGGGTTTATGAATCAATATTGTCCTCCGAGCTCTGAGAGAGACCTAGTAGGACGTCGAGTTAACCAGCAGGTCTGTTCCTGTCACACAGTGTAAATTCTCTTTGCCCTTCAAAGGCCACAGTCAGAGGTCATTCAGTCCATTCAAAAACAAATAATCCACAGGCAGCAAGAGACAATTCTTTCTCTGCTTGAATTTTTACTCAGTCATTCTGAGTCTTCTCATTTTCTCTCCATTTGAGAGTAGGATGGGCGGAATGTCTTTCACTCGTTCAGCTCTTATCTCTCTCTTTACCCTCCTGCCTTTCTGTATTATGTATAGGACCTGAGTGACACCTTTTCTAGTTAGCAAATATTAGCATGCTAACACGCTAAACTAAGATGCATGCAGTTGTCATTGTCACTGTTGTTGAAGCGCTGCTAGCATGGCAGTAGACTCTTAGTCTTGTTTTACATTCAGTGGCAATGCTTTTAAAATTCTGCCATTTTACGCTCTCTGCACATGACAACTACAGTATGGGTGAAGGTAGGCAAAGGTTGTGGTTATGAAAGTAAGTTAGTTGCAAGTCTGTAACAGGATGCAAACTCAGGTCTCTTGCAGAAAAGTCAGATGCTACTTGCCCATCCACCATCCCGACCTCCAGACCTATTCTCTTTGCCTCACGTCATATAGGCTGAAGCAGATGGTCTATTCCGTAGTTACAAAAGATTTGGCGAAAGAATAAAGAAATACAGACGAAGAATTTGGGGTTTTTTTGCATGGACAAATAACAAGCTGGGACTGTTACTGAATGTAACACGGAGTGTGGCAGCGGAAAACAGACTGGGAGTTCTCGCAAAGCAAATGGCGACATGCACAGTGCAAGTGTACGCATAAGTGTAATTTGTACGGTACAAAATATTTTGCTTTGCATGACTTATGAGATCCAATCATAGAGCCAAACATGAGCGTCTGCATCATCGTTTGCTCCTGTTCTGAAAACTCTGTTTTGAACTTAATCAGATAGAAAATCTACCTTAAAAGCAGATAAAATACATGATATCCATGTCTGTGTTCTGTTTTATTCAGTGCTATGTTTTTATATAAATAGAAATCCAAATCATTTCAAACAGCATAAAACATATTTTGCCAAAAGCCCCTAAATAGAGAGTGAAAACAAATTCTTTGTGCTTTCGTTCTTTTCCCATTTTTCTCTCTTGATCTTTTTTCCTATTTATTTATTCCATAGTCAATATATTTCCTGGAAGTCATTATAACTGACAAAACATTTCATCCTCAATCGCCCTTCTTCCTGTAATCATATTGTTTTCCCTCACAGTCGCTCTCCCTCACTCCTCTCTCTTTTTCTGCAAGTTATTAGTGATGAAAAAGGCCATCTCTTTATTTTTTTCTCTAAGTCATTACAACTGCCAAAACCTCTGCCTCTGTTCTTTCTGTAAGTCATTAAGACTGACAGAATCTCTGTTGTATTGTTTCATGATGAAACTTCAGTGGCTCTTTTGTCCAGTGTACCGTTCACAGCCCTAAAGCACTGCAGGCTGGTTAGTCCCTGAGGTAACAAAGCTTAAAAGCCTGGATGTGAAAGCCTTCAGCTGGAGCCCGACTGTCAGAGGTTACCATTTAACATCAGCGGGGGACTCGCTACATGTCACCCAGAGATTTTTCTAGTAAACATTCAATGCTACTGTGAGCAGCAGAGCTGTGATCAAAGGTAAAAAGTATTGTCTTTGACATTCTGTTAGTATACAACTCTGCACCACCAGTCCTTTGTCCCTTTATAAGTCAACAACATTGAACTACAGTACAGTAGCATGGTTCACACTACCTTGTTACCCAGGCTAGCGGTGGGGCTCTATGGATGGCAATCTGTCAGTCAGTCTGTCAGTTGAGAGGCCTGTCAGTCTACCATTTTGGTCCAGACTGAAATATCGCAGCAACTTTTGGATGGATTGTCATTTAAGCTTGTGGAGACAGTAATGTTCCACAGAGGATGACACTTTGGTTTATGGGCAAATGTCTGCAAAACAAATGACATTCCTCTGCTAATTTTAGCATGCTAAAACACTAAACTAAAGTGGTGAACATGTAGAACATTCCCTGATCAATAGCTGGATGTAAGCACGTCATTTCCAAGATCAAGAATCAACTTAACGCTCAACAATAATGTAAACTAATGCAGAGTGATCAGTAAAGTTGGGAAATTTTCCAAAATGCAATTAAAACAAAAATCTGGGATTTGTTAATTAATATCAACCTTTATTTAACTGACATAAATACAAAGAATAGATTTTTTTAAATAATTTTACTGACCAATTGTATTTTGTAAAACTAATTTTGAATTTCATACACACTCAAAAAAAGTTGGGACAGAGGCATGTCTACCATTGTGTTATATCACCTTTTAATAACACTTTCTAATCGTTTGGGAATTGTGCAAGTTTTGCAATTGGAATTTCTGTCCATTCTTGTTTGATACAAAACTTCTGCTACTCAACTGTCTTTGGCCGCTGTTGTCACGCACTCTGTTTCTACCAAGCCACACTGCCATAGCCCATGCAAAATGAGGAAGAAACAATGCCTTGATGGCAACATGTCTCTCTAAAATCATCAGTGGTACCTTCCCACACATGCAAATCACCCATGCCTAAATGTGGACTCATCTGACCACAGAACACAGTTCCACTGTCTTTCGGTGTATCTGAAATGACCTCGTGCCCAGAGAACTCAAGGGCGTTTAAGCATGCAATTGATGGCTTCCTCCTTGCTTAATACAGTTTCAGGTTGCATTTCTGGAAGCAGCAGCAAATTGTTTTTAGTGACAACAATTTTCTGAAGTACACCTGAACCCATGTGACTACATTTGTGGTGACGGGGCAGTGGATAAGACACATGTCTTTGGTGCGAGATAACCGGGTTCAATCCCCTACTGTGAAACATCCTCCAATGTGTCCCAAGACATTTAACCCCTCTTTGCTCCAGAGGCATGCGACCTCTGACATATATAGCAATTGCAATTCGCTTTGGATAAAAGCGACAGCTAAATGAGTAAATGTAATGTAAGTATGACGACATCTTAGGCAATGCCGACTGAGGTCTCAAAGGTCACGCACGTTCAACAGTGGTCTCCGACCTTGCCCTATACGCACGGAGATGTTTCCAAATGACCTGAATCTTTTTATAATATTATGTACTGTTGATTTTGACCTAAATTCTCTGCAATCTTGCATTGAAAAAGTTTCCCTTTGAACTGACTTCAACTGAATTTTCTCACAGTTTTTGGCACAAAAGGGTGAGCCACAACCCATCCTAACTTGCAAAGATGCAATTTTTATATCCGATCATGATACCTCACCTGTTATCAATTAGCCTGCTTATTGTGAAGTCTTCCAAACTGATGTTATTTGAATATTCTGTGGACATTTCAGTCTTATTTTAACTCTGTCCCATCTTTTGTTGAGTGTGCTGCAGGCATGAAATTCTAACTTTGTTTATATTTACAAAATACAATTACGCTGGTCAGTAACTATTTTCTTTGTACTTTTTCCCGTTAAATAAAGGTTCACATGAATGAACAAATCACAGATTTTTTCTGGAAATGGGGTTTATAGAAAACACAACTAAATAAAATGTCTGTCGAGATTCTCAGTCATCAAGTTTTTCAAGGAGGGTTAAATCCAGGGCAACTGGTCTTGGTTGAAGATACTGGAAGACATTTTCCAAGAGGCTTCTTCAGTTCTGACTGACTGGCACGTAGTCCCAGCAATTTAACCTTGGTGGGGTCGTTATCAACGTAGTGGATACCGCTTGGTTCGTTAATGCTCCTGGCTGTAATTTCGTTGGCTTCACATGAGGGCAAGTCTGAACGACTGTTGTTGGTGTAAAGGATTAAAAATGTGTTCACAGTTAGGCATAAGAGTTGTTAAAAAGTAATTGAATTAGTACAGTTCATTATACTACTACTTTATTGCTACAATAAACAATGTGTTAAAAAAAAAGACACCCATATAATTTTTTCCATGATATTGTGTATTAAATAGTTACTAAAAGGCCAATTTCATTGTATTGTACTGGTTACTGTTGGCCCTGCGATGGACTGGCGACCTGTCCAGGGTGTACCCCGCCTTTCGCCCAATGTAAGCTGGGATTGGCTCCAGCCCCTTGCGACCCTGTACGCAGGATAAGCGGTTGACGAAGGATGGATGGTTTTCCGGGAAAGAGCAATAAGCAAATGTATCAAGACAGTGCCTGGCCTGCTGTAGCCTATACCTGGGATATTTGTGGTCTGATAATGCCCAAATGATTACGCAGGCTACAGGCTGTAGCAGAAATCATTACAATGTCTGGTAGAATTAAATTTTTTGAGTCGCTTGCTTACTCACAGCGCGTTTCTCTGTTTGGTTGTGTTTTCTCTATTTGCAGCGTGTTTTCTAAATGCTGGGCACATGTTGAAATAACAAAGACGTTTTCTTAATTTCCATGTGTTTTCTTAAGCTGCAGTGCACTGAGCTCTCAGGACCATTGTAGATGTACCTAATGTACAGAAATGAATATAAGGGTCATCCAGATATGGTCATCAAAATATAACAAAAATATGTAAAGTTTGCATAATTTGATGTTTTTGGTTCTCTTTGCTCTACCTCTGACTAAACACTATGGTTCTGAGGTCCCTGGAGAAGTCAATGCTGTGGGTCCTGTGGTCCAGCATGTACCTTTGGATACTTTCATCATCCTGAGTTCATGTCCCTTCAGGGGCCAACACCACAGACTAATGTAAAACACTGCAGTTTGTGTGTGGTTTTAGAGGTCAACAACATGGGTTAAAGTACCTGGGGTCAGGTATACAATCGACAACATGGGTTTACTAACCATTGTAGCTTAAAAAACAAAACCATATCTCATTTTTTAGACTTCTCACATGGGCCTGTGCATTCATAAACCAAGTCCATAAAACATTCTGGAGAAGGCACCGTGGTTATTTAATCTTATAGCAGTGGTCCCTAAACCTTTTGGCTTATGATACCCTGAAACAACGGTAACTTTACATATTACCTCTCGTCACAGGTTGCATATGTCTTTTGAATACTACACAAGATTGCAGATTCTTCATTCTCTGATCATTATTTAATTTGAATTATATTTAAGGCCCTAAAAAGCAAAATGATCTAGTTATTCACTAGAAAAATTCTGAAAAAAGTAAACATAAGTTTGTGGGATATCTTAACCTCCAGGTTGGGAACCATTGCCTAAGAGGAGGGATAGGAATCTGAAAGTCCGTCTTACCTCTCGACTCCATCCTGGGAGTAATAAATGCCATAGGTCTGCACAGCTCCTCTGGTCTCCTCTGGGGGACGCCAGCTGAGTCGGACAAATCGGCTGGACACTAGGACAGGGACCAGGTCGCGGGGGGCAGAGGGGAGGGCAACGCCTGGGCTGGGGGACACTGGTGGGGGATCAGAGGAGGAGGAGTAAGTCAAGGGGGTGCCAGAAGGGGCAGGAGGAGCAGAGGGAGGACGAGGAGGAGTCGGTGTGAAGGCAGGTCTATACTGAGTGGGCGTGGCCTCTGTTAACAATTCATCCAGGGGAAAGGGAAGGAGGAAGGACGGGAGAAAAAGCAGGGACCGGGACAGGGTTGAGGGGTGGAGGGCGGGTGCAGGAGGGGAGCAAAGAAGGCGGAGGAAAGAAAAATGAAAGGAGCACATGACAGATGAGATGAGCAGATAAGGAAGAGACGTGGAAGAGACAAGAAGGAAGAAAAGGAGGAAGAAGAGTGGTAAAGAAGATCACAGGCAAGAAAAGCGGCAGAGCATCTGAAGAGTCATCAATCAACAGATATCAGTCATCTCAATGTAAAGACTAAGAATCCTCTGATCTTATCAATGAGCCCCCCCGCTGGATTCATGCAGACATTTCAAATAGATGTACTTCAAAATTAGGATTTTGTTCCTTTGAATTCATATACAGGGTTTTGGGTTTTTTTGACTAGTTGTATAGTGGAGTTGTATAGACTCATGTTTAAATGGTAGAGGTAGAATGTAAGCAATCCCTCAGTAAGTGACAAGACAAAAATGTGAGACACATACTGCTATTACTACTACTACTACGCTCCATATACTTAAGGTTTGAACCAAAATTAAAGCTGGAGTAGGCAACGTTGGAGAAACCAGAAAGAGATAGCTAGACTGTTAATGTGTCCAACTGAAAACATCCCACTGCCTCCCTTCAGGCCTCCCTCCAAAGCCACTCCCCTAAACACAAACCTAAAAAAATATTCTTCTGAAATAAATTGCTTACCCCAGTTTTAACCAGCAATCTGTATCTGGATATTTCATCTGGATAATGACATCTGATAACTGAAAATACCAGGCGTAACCTTTCCAGCTACACCTGGTATTTATTAGTGTTTTTGTTATCTCGAGCCTGCATTGCGATAAGATCTTGATATGCAAATTAGCAGGGCTGGCTGACACATGCAGAAGCATCGCTTTGAGAGACTCCTGAGGGACTGATTCAATATGCAAGGCAAGGGTCATATGACGGACGGAGAAAGCTGAACTTCAAAACCATATGTGGTTCTTATAACTTGGTGACATCGGGACTACTTTTGCAAGACCAGTTGGAAAACTACTGTTTACCATCAACACACCTACACTGAAGGTTAAATAAAAGTTGATGGTGCAATGCAGCCAACAAGCTACGATAGTTCTCTCCATTCCCTCAAAGGTTAGCACTGTCAAGACCGCTAGTTCACCAGAGATGAACTTGCTGCTGTAGGTGGATCCACTGAGGGCTGGGATTTCTTTGGAATGAACTGATTTTGCGGCGGTATTTTACCAGTTTAGATTCTGGTGTGACCATGCCTTTACTGTAAGAAGGTAATCAGAAACAGAGCATGCAAACACCAGCGCTAGCTCGGCTACCCCCGTCAGTGACCATTTTCTTGCACATTGTGGATGCCCCTCGGGTCTCCAGACAGTCTCTATTTTTCCGTTGTGGATGAGTTTGTCTTTGGCAGCTTGAGGTGAACTTTCAACTTGTTGGGGTGGATCTTAAGAATGTGACCAAACTGTGCAGATGCATTAACAGGCTTTGTGTTGTTCCTGATCCACATAAGATACAGAGATCAAGATGATTGGGTCATTTGTCTTGACTACACATCACATCTTCTAATTATGAAAAATTAAATACACAAGCAGCTCCAGGTCACAGGAATGACGTGTTTTGGATGAAAATGTTTTCCTGAATGTGTATTTGTTTCTAGTGCTTGAAACACTGAAAAAGAATGAAAATGAGAGCAAAGTGAAAAATGGAAATCCCTCTTGAGGTGCTGGTTGGTTACTACTCAAACCTGTTTAATGGTTGCTCACATTTTTTCACAGTTTTGATGATCACCTTCTGTATTCAGAATAATATGAAAGTTGTTTTGAAAGATTTCAGTTTCAACCTCCATTTTACAATTTACATGACAAACACCTTCAAGTCTGCGCCATAAACTTCTTGTTCTTGCTGTCCACACTTTGACTAGAAAAGATCGTAACAACAAATTGCTGTGGCGCTACACAGTTGTTGAATTGGTAAAATGTTCCTGTTTCTACTGGTTTTATTTTCCCACCTGCCTACTTCCCTTCCATGGGCTTCATTAAGAACTGCTTTGACAGATGTGATTGACAGTGCATACAACCAACAAGAGTAAAGCTTTGAAGAGGCTCATGAGACAGTCAGCAAAGTGTAGGTCTTTCTCAATTATGAGTACACCAAGTTTGAACTTGTGTTCTTGGGAGTTCCAACTAGTAAATTTAAACTTGCAAGAATGTGTAATTTGCCACTGGGACAACAGCATAATTACAAACAAATCTGTTCGCCTGTTATTATCACTGTATTGTGTGTTACAATAAAACTAAGAGCTAAGTTTATCTTCCCAAAAATAAAATATCTTATGTTTGTTACTCTAAAGAGACATCAGGGTAAAAAAAAAAGAACAGTGACAGTGATCACTGCGATGGCCATTCATTCCCTGCTAGCAGGTCCTCACATCCCCGAAAACAATTTTTCAAGTAGGCATTATTTTTAATAAACTGACCTCATAATTGAAATCTCCACCAAAAAATCTCAAAAGCCAAAGTCCTTAAAGGGAAGCCTTGCCACTCGGCAGCCATCTTGGTAATGCCTCTGGGCAGCTATTTCGGACTAACAAGACCAGGCTCCTATCTGAATGAATGGGGAGAGAGCCAGAGCTGCAAATTCACTGGTCACATAAACATTAAATGACTCACCAGTAAAATCTGATAAAAATCGCTGAAAACTTTGACGACTTTGCCACGAAATAAGGTTTAAAAAGCATTTTTCCCGACTGGTTATACTTCTACTACGCATGCATAGTAGAACAATAACAGACCCTTACGTCAGTGGAACCACACGATTGGCTGAAATATGTTTCCCGCCTCGGCTGTTAAAAGCAGCCGATAGGCTTCCTAGCGAGAGGGTCAGGATAACGGCCATATTTGGCATTATGGGCTTTCCTTAGAGAGTTGTGTTGAGGATTCTTAAAGTGGCATGTCTCCTCTGTAAAACAGCTTTGGTTTGGCCCATATCCTCCACCATGACTGCCAGTTGATAAGAAATGCATGATGGGATCTTTGTCTACCCCTAAGTTGCCGTACTGTGTGGAGCAAAACACTTCCAGGTAGTTGGACTGTTCTTGGTAAATGAACTGCAACAGTACTTGGGCAATGATTGATGCACTTTAACAAGTCCACAAGAACACAAGTACTGACAAGAACACAGACGGAGAAAGACTTTGAGATCCCTATGAGAGTGTGTGTGATGTGTGTGATCAGCAGTGTTACAGCAGCTATTGCTTTTAAGTTGCCACCAATTATACTGCTACAATCCCTAAGGCAGAGCACAGCAATAATCAATGTACCACACACACACACACGCACGCACACACACACACGCACACACACACACACACACACACACACACACACACGCACGCACACACACACACACACACACACACACACACACACACACACGCACACACATTCACACACATTCACACACAAACAACTGGGTCAGCTGTGGTGTGTGTGTGTGTGTGTGTGTGTGTGTGTGTGAGAATGTGTGTGTGTCTGAAAACTAATCATCTAAAATGAAACTGACACCATCACAACTCCTCCTCTCCTCTGGAGATGGAGGAAAACAGAAGAGGAGACCGAGGAAGTAAAAGAAGAGAAAGATAAAGAAGTGTAGAAACAAACTAGGAGAAAAGATGAGGCGCTGAAGGGTAAGAACAGAAGAAGGAGAAACTGGAAGAAAAGGCGGAGATGGAAAGAGTGTTAACACACCTCCTCTGGTGTCTATGAGATGAGATTTCGGGGTGTGAAGGGCAGATTCGTTCCTGCTCGGTGACCCGGCCAAAAAGACCAGCCGGCGCTGAGCAGTAAAGCGTCACTCAGCTGAAAATAGACGAGTATGGTAAATAATAGAGTCAGACACCACAGAAGAAGAGCTGGAAAACAATCTGAATAAGTGCTGAAAATTACACCGCAGTCTGCCCGACGACAGATGATACCTGCACGCGCACACACACAAACGCAGCCTCATGTTTTTTCCATCACTCTGTCCATTTTCTACAAGCTACTCTGCATTTATATTGTTTCTGTTGCCTGAATGATCTTTAGGGGAGTTTGGTTTCAGCCCTGAGGATTCTGCAGCAAAGAAATGTGTTTTGTTTTGAATGTGTGTGATTCCAAAAACAATGCTCTGGAGAACTATAACGTGTACCTACAATAAATGACAAAACACAAGCTATGTTTACACTGACATTCATACATACATACGTACATCCATAAATAACTGACAAATGAGTCCGCAACCATGCAACTATGTAACTGAACTTTAATACATAAAGTAATCCATCCTTTCCATTCAACTTTTGGCCCTCAACATTAAAAAACAAACTCTCATTTAGCTGCAATTTTGTCTTTTGCAAAACTTATGTGGGCTTCTAGCTTGCTAGCCACTTTACTTGACATGTATGTACCAGCTTTTCAGGTCACGCATTCTGCTTCACACTGATCCCCACCGAGACGAAAACACTGGAATATTTTCTGTAATCAATCTGGGAATTTACATTTGGGAATTTTTAATGCTGTTCATGTGCCATGTGCCTCTGTTGACAAGCAAGCTGCTGCTCTGCCTCTTGGTAACGATTGACAGGTAGTTTGACCAATGTTTGCGTGGTCGGCATGCGAGAAGGCATCATCCGGAAGACGAAGAAGCGAAGATGACGAGAGAACGAGAACAATGTTGCGCAGCTGTTTTCATGAAAGATGAGGTCAGAGCTGAGTTCAATGACTCACATGATAAAAGTCCAGTTACTAGTAATTACCAGCAACTACATCTGTGAGGTCCCTGTGATCCCGAGACGAGATTGCT